TGTTCTTTCTCTCTCTCTCTCTCTCTCTCTCTCTCTCTCTCTCTCTCTCTCTCTCTCTTTTGCCCTTCCTCCCTCTCTCTCTCCCTCCATCCCTACCTCTCTCTCTTTCTCTCTCTCTCTCTCTCTTTTATTTTTTTATTTCTACCACTTTTGAGTGTTTGTTGCAATTATTTTTTCTTTGCAAATCAAAGAAAAAAACATATATGCATTAGTAAAAAAGACCATAAATTTTACAATCTACTGCCTGAGGCCATTTTCTCTGCAAAGAACTCAAAAATATACCTTGATACCCAAACTGAGAACAATCAGATCTTCAGAGAAGTCCATACCATGGGCATTGAATACTTTTAAAAAACTGACATAAGTTTTAGTGTGTTTTTAATTAATCTTAATCTCATTATTTTTTTCAATATCCGAAAGGTACCAAAGGTTTTATATGTTCTTAATAGTTTTAATTTTAACAATTTTATTAAACTCATTGATATTCTCATAAAGTGAATCAATCATTTTATGTTATTGTGCAATGATTATTCAACTATCTAAGTTGCAAATAAACACCATAATAATAATGATGATGATGATTATGTTGATTATTATTATTATTATTATTATTATATAAAGTAGTTATCTAATCATCTTTATTAACATCTTGATCTCTATGTCTAGGCCTCACTTGCACAGAGCAGAACTTTGTCACCAAGGCTGGGGCACAGAAGTATGCTGCAGAGCATGGGATTATGATTGTTGCACCAGACACCAGTCCTAGTAAGTTCACAGGGAGCAGGGTGAGGGGGGGGGGGGGGCGATAAGGGGCCTATTGTCTCTCCCACCTCAATGTAGATAATTGATTTTCTTCTGAATGGCTACCCCCTTCTTTCCCAATTGCATACACACACACACACACACATGCACTCACGTAACCCACGCACACACACACACTTCCTACATACCTGCATTAACTATTAAGAAGACTAACAATGATGGATGGGAGGATAACTATGACTGTGTCTCATTATTCAATAATATGGCTAATCCCATGCTGAGAACTCAGTCTACAGATTCCTTAAATCTTTGTTGACATATGTTGTACATTGTAAGCCCCTCTCTAAAATTTTCTTTCCACACAGATGTTTTTTACAATTCAGGGGGCTGTAACATTGAGGGAGAAGATGACAGCTATGACTTTGGTTGTAGCTGAGAACTCGGATAACAGATTTCTTTAGCTTTGTTGATATATATTTAACGTTGTTAGCCTCTCTTAGATTTGCTTTCCACACACACAGATGTTTTTTTCCAATTCAGGGGGCTGTAACATTGAGGGGGAAGATGACAGCTATGACTTTGGTTCCGGAGCAGGATTTTATTTGGATGCCTCTGAAGAGAAGTGGAAAACCAACTACAGGATGCATTCCTATATTACCAAAGAGGTAAAGTCCCTTTTATACTGGACGGCCCCTTTCTGTGTCCCGTAGTACAGCCCCCATTTGAGAGTAAAAAAAAAAAAAACTTTACATGCTGACAACTGGCCGATCATTGAGCATTCATTCTGCAACCAAAGCGATGCTTGAACAAAGGACGCAGGTTGAACAAAGGATGCAGAAAGGATGTCATCCAGTTTAAAGGGGGTTTAATTAAAATTTCATGCCGCTATCTTGAAAAACCATTAAGCTGTCAATTTAATATTTAGAAGTACCAAATCTGATGGTTTATTAAACTCCAGCTTTCATATTGTGGGAGATATTGGTTTTTATATTCTCCTTTTCATTAATAATGCATTGGTGAAGTTATGACCACTGAAGCAGATACGTTGAAAAGGAATTTAAAAATGAATAAAAATACCATGATGTACTTGACTTTATGATACTCAGATGTTCCAGTTTATGTTTCTAAGATTCACCAATTCTGATCAAACAATACGAAAGTTTTTATAAAAATAATTTTTATTCTTCTTGTATTCAGATTGAAATTCGCTTAATTGTAGTGTTGCTGTTTGTTTTCTTGAGGTATCAAGAAATATAGTGAATTCAGATCTACAGACTAACAGATCCCCAATTCAAATATGTCTGAAGCATTTGAATGCTTATTGCGTAATCCCCGCGGGAAATCTGTACAATGTCTAATCGGGAATTAAGCGACAAGCTTTTTAGTGGGTCGCCATATTTGATCCTCGGATCTGTTAGTCCGCTGTTCTGAATGCACTAATAGTCTATGAATATACAATTTGTATTCCAGCTGCAACAGTTAGTGAATGCCTCCTTCCCTGTCTCTGGGAAACAGTCAGTATTTGGACACAGGTGAGGGAAGGTGGGGTGGGGTTAGGATAGGGGTAGGGGTGGGGTTGGGTTGGGATAGGGGTGGGGTGAGTTTGGGGTGGGGGTGGGGGTTGGGTTGGGATGGGGGTAAGGGGCAGGGTGAAAGTTGGGTAGGGATGGGGATGGAGGTAAGCGCTTGTTGGGGTGGTTTGGGGGGGGGGAGAGGAACCAACAAAGAATGCTTACAGTGCAAATGCATTAAGAAATTTGTAAAAGCAGAAATTAGTTCTTTTTTTCTGGCATCTTGATCTGTTTTTTTTTCTGTTAAGTTGTTCTTAGTTACATTAGGTCATGAATTTAATTAATAGTGTTAGGTCAAGAGAATGACTTACTTTTAAATGACTGAAGTGAAACATAACAATTGATTTATTTTTGCTTATCAATATGCCATGATATGCATCACGTATGATTATTGTTTTTATTTTAATAGTTTTATTCCATGGAAATGAAGTTTATGAGATATCAGTATAAAAAAGATTCAATATCGCATTCCAGCATGGGAGGCCATGGTGCCCTGATATGCGCCCTGAAGAACCCTGGGATGTTCAGCTCTGTGTCAGCATTTTCTCCTATCTGTAACCCGTGTGAGTGTGCCTGGGGACAGAAGGCATTCACAGGGTACCTGGGCTCTGACAAGGAGGCCTGGAAGGTCTGCCATTGAAGCTCTCTCCCCTCCTTCTCTCTCTCTCTCTTTCTTTCTCTCTCTCTGGAAGGTCTGTCATTGAATCTCTCCCCTCCCCCTTCTCTCTCTCTCTCATATTATAGTTAAAACTGCTGTTTGCATGCAAAGGTGTGGAGTCTTAACACTAAGTCTCGAGTGGCTCCAAAATTCTACAGTATATCCATTAATGATACCTATATTATTCTGTTCCTTTTTCCTGTAAGCAAAATATAGAGGATACGTAGTCAATATTTTTAGTTGCAGTTGAAATTGATTAAAGAGTTGTAGAATTGTAAGTGCCATTTCCTTTATCAGTGGGAGAAAGGGAGTTCCATAACAACTACATGTGTGTTAAAATCATGAGAAAGGTATTTAGTAAATTTTGAAAGGTATACATGTACAATGAATTTTCTGTTAGTTTGATTTTCTAATCTACAGGCTCATGATGCTAGCTGCCTGGTGAAGAGCTACTCTGGACCCCCTCTTGGAGATATCCTCATCGACCAGGTGGGTTTAAAAATACATTATGCAAGGAAAGTGTTGAAGTATTTTGGAAAAATATTTCAAAAGTTTTCTTTATACATACATACATTCATACATACATGTCTAGCAGTGTCCTTTGGGTTAGGAACCAATTAGAGGGAAAAAAAGCACAACCAAAGAAAAAAAATATATATATATTGAAAATTTAGATCCACACAATTAATATGCAGAATCCTATTGACAGTTTTCGTTCAACAGGATATTGCTAATTTGCAGTGTTGTTGGAAGTCACTTTATTTCTTAGGAATTACAAGTATTAATAATAATATATATATATATATATATATATATATATATATATATATATATATATATATATATATAATAATATAATATAATAATAATATAATATATATGTATTTGAGAAAGTTGAAAATTAGTTTCTCACTTTTCCCTGACATATTGCCCAAAATTTCAGGGCAAAGATGACAACTTCCTGGGTCAAGGTCAACTGCTGCCAGACAATTTTGTCGCTGCCTGTGCTGAGGCTAAGGTTCCTGTGGTCCTCAGGATGCAAGAGGTATAGTTCTTTTTTATTTTTCAGAAATAAAAGTTGGATCAAAACTTCACTATAACTCAATGTTAATTTTACAGATATATTTTTATAAACCAGTTTCTAGGTTTCATTAGTACCACCAGCGTATACGCTGGCGGTACTCATGGTTTTAGTCCCGGCCCGTCTCGTACAGCTCCGCCGGCTCCTGCGGCTCCGCCGGCTCCTGCGGCTCCGCCGGCTCCGCCGGCTCCGCAGTCGGGCGCCGGAAACAAGTCATCGTTACCGCTTCTCCTCCTAGACCGCCAGGACCTGTGTCCCCATCTCTTGGATTTAGGTCACATATAATCTCAACTTGAACACCCTGGTTTTTTTGTCTCTGTCGGTGTATTGGCCTGGGCGTGACACTTGTTGAAATGCACCCTTGTCAAAATTTTTGAAAATTCAAGGCTAAATATCTCCCAAACCAAAGGAATTATGGGAAAAATTACTACAGAAGTCTGACCGAAAGTCATATGTGGAGATTCCAAATATGCCCTTGAATTTGACTTTTGACCTTTTTTTCAAGGTCAAACAAGCCAAAATTTTCTAAAAATGGGAATTTTCTTCAAAAAA